AAAGAGAAATAAACTTTTCCTATTTGAGGTTCAAAAGAATACTAAGAATAAGCGTGAAGGATAAAATCATCACGTGCTTATAAGTAAATTGAGATGAAGATGGAGGCCCTGGGTGGAGCAAACGGGTAACATGCTTGCCTGCTAACTGAAAGGTTGGAGGTTCAAGTCCACCCAGAGGCACCTTGGAAGAAAGGCCTGGCAATCTTCTGAAAAACCAGCTACTGAAAACTCTATGGAGTACAGTTCTACTCTGACACACATGGGGTCACAATGAGTTGGAATCGACTCCAAGCAACTGTTGGTTGTGTTGAAATTCAGATATATTTTTCTTTAAAACATATGGAAGTGCCCCACCCCCACCCTCAATTAAGGATGGCTTGAATAATCTAGCTGCTGCCGCCGGATGATTTGTCCCTGATGACTTTGGCACTTTTCTCGTTTTGTTTTAACAGCCTTCTTGGGGTATAATTTACATACCATAAAATTCATCCGCTGTTTAAGTGTACAATTCAATGAATGTAATAAACTTATAGAATTGTGTAACTATTACCAGAATCCAATTTTAGCACATTTCCATCACCCCAAAAAGATACCTTGTGCCCAGTTACAGTTAAGCCCTGCCTCCACCCCCAGCCCCAGACAACCACAAATCTTCTTACTATCTCTGTAGATTCAGCTTTTCTAGCCATCTGGCTTTAGCATCTGGCTTCTTTCACTTTACATAATGTTTTCTGAGGTTCATATGTCTTGACACATGTATTAATAATTCATTCCTTTAAATTGCTGAATTGTATTCCATTATATGGATGTACCACAATTTGTTTATCCATTCATCAGTTGACAGACATTTGGATTGTTTCCAGTTTGGGGCTGTTATGAGTAATGCTGCTGTTGATATTCATATATATGTCTTTGTGTGGATATGTTTTTATTTCTCTTGAGTAGATTCCTAGGAGTAGAATTTCTGGGTTGGATGCTAAGTTTATGTTTAACTTTTTTTAGGAAACTGCCAAACTATTTTCCGAAGTGGCTGCATAATCTTACGTTCCCATCAGCAATTCATGAAGGTTTCTGTTTCTCCGTGTCTTTGCCAACACTTGGTTTTGTCTATCTTTTTGATTTTAGCCGTTCTTTTGGGTACGTAGTGGTCTCCCATTGTGGTTTTAATTTGCATTTTCCCAATGACCTCTTGAGCTTTTTGTCGTGCATTTATTTGCCATTCATATATCTTCTTTGGTAAAATGTCTTTTAAAATACTGTGCCCATTTTTAAAGTGGGTTGTTTGTCTACTTACTGAGTTGTAAGGTTGACCTTATTTTAAAAAAAAAGATAGAATTTTAATTTTGCAAATCCAATTTTAAAAGGAAGCAGTTGGATGAGATGATTTAACATTTGAATATTATAACTCCTTTCATAGACCTTGAAAGTTTTTTCCATCTATGCGGTGTCCTGAGGTTGTATCCCCAGGCAGGTATCCCTCATTTTAGAAGAGGATATTGCTGCCCAGAGAAGTAAAGAGAAGCGTTCAGGTCACCCCACTTGTTGGATAGGTAGCCTGCATTTTGACTGTAACCCCACTTGAAACTGGGTGGCCAGGGGCCTTTGTAGATGCTTTACTCCTTCCAGGGCCCAGCATGGGGACTGGTGTTGCTCCAAGGCTGGCACAGAAGCAGAACTGATGTGGACCTTGGACCCAGGCCTTGGACCTCCGCTTGGTAGAAGGGTGTGCTTATTTGCTGGGTCAGAAGCCAGGTGCCCAGGTGCCCGGAGATGACGGTCAGAGGGTCCTGCTGGCTTTGGCTTGGCTTCCCAGCCTTTGGGCATGCTAGGTTTTGCAGGTGGCTCTCCTGGCAGCAGGGCACCTTGTCTTTTCTCACTTCATAAAGATTCCCAGCTAGGGCCTCCCTTATGGTGGTGCAGCTGTTATCTCCTCACCCTCAGTGACCCTACCCTGCAGGGAGACTCACTACCTGCATTTGGCTTCATGCTCTGTGGGCTCAGGGCCAGCATCTGAGCAATCCGTGGAGGTCCACGATCTGCAGACATGCAAAACTTCCACACCCTCCTGCTCACCTTGAGCCCAGACCTTCTTTTCTGATCGCTGGACCAGACGAGCAGTTTGGACTCTCATCTGGATGATGGGAGAAAGAAACAATGTTTTCAGTTATGCTGCTCCAGAGAGAGAGATACAGCTCTTGTAAAAGGAGAAGACTTTAATGTATACAATGAATATTAAAATACTGCTTAGGCCATTTTGTACTTGGGTTCTCACCTCTGTTCCTCTGGGAATGCTTGATTTCTCACTTTCCCTTTGTTAGCACATAAGACTTCTAAAATGAAGCCACCCTGGGTGGAGGGACTGAGCACACAGTGCTGGGCTATTTCGATTGTGAACTCTGCATCTGGCAGGAGCAACCAAATGTGCCTTGCAGCTGCCAAAAGACTTCATTCAGTGGCTCACTGATTTCAATGGAAAGAGGCGTTAATAGAGTCAGGGGAAGTGATGCTATTTAAAAAAATGACATTGTATGGCTCTGTTCTCTGTTTATACTCCCTCAATGACTTCCAGATCAAACTTACATAGTTTGGCATCCAGCGATGCCTGTTTTGGGCTCCAGTTTGAGGCAAATCAGATTCCAGCATAGCTGCTCCTCTCTTCCTGCTGCATGTCATTCCTCAGCATTCAGTGTCCGTCTGTTGTCAGACGGCTCAGGATTGCTGTGGCCCTTGTGGGAGTTTGGGCTTGGTGTCGCAATGAGGATAATAACAGGCTCAGGTGTCACACAGCTGTCAGGTTGCTGGCCTCAGCCTCCAGCAAGGGTTTAGGGTCTCCATAGCTCTCAAATCTTAAGATCCCAAGGGTAGGATGTTGGTGCAAGAAAGGAATCAGGAATCTGTATTCTTTCTCCCTCCTCCATATGAAGTTGGCCAAAGATACTGGGAGCTCCAAATGATGGAGGGTTATTATTGGTGATGATCCACAGACGTCAAAGAGACTATCTGAGAACTTGTGTTCTCCATCAACTATGAATGCTTGGAGAAAGTAGTGTTCAGTTCTAAAAGACCTCTGGGAATCTGGGGAAGTGAGGGATGGTGTAATCATCAAAATGTCTGAACCACTATGCTTCCTTCCCTTACCTGACCTGAGGGAGAAAATGGGGAGAAATTTCTAACTATTCATTCTCAGTGGGGATAAAGATACATGCTCATAGTTTTCACCAAGGGGGCAAAAATGGGTCTTTTTACACACAGAGCACAGATATACATACAGTAGTACATAAACATATACAGTCTGTCTGTGGTATTAAAATTTCATTAGCCTTTCAAAAAGGCCTTTTAGGGGGATAACTGGAAAAAAGCTGAGGGACACTGATCGAAGCTAAGGTTTTGGGAGCCTTGATGACAATAACTCAGAGTCCTGGCACTAACTCCTGACCCTCGCAGGTCCTCGTTCTGCAGAGAGAGCTGCCAACACCATTGGGATGATAAGCGTTAGGCCTGTGTTACTGGGAACTCTCTGCTCCCATCACCTATGTTAGAGATTTCCAAGCTAAAATCCAGGGTGATTTCTGCAGTTTCCCATGTCCTGTCCAATTTTGTTTACCCCCACCTCTTACTGGGAGTTGGGGTGCATGCTGTTTCATAGTTGAAAATATTCTGAGGATTCCCTAATTCTCTTGATTCAGTGTGCTGGTAAATGAATAATTTCTTTTATAAGGATCAGCACAGAGCTGGTTCCTATGGGGCAGATGTTAAAGATATCCCAAATGTCCAACTTTTCCAAACTGCTGTACCATTCCATCATCTCTAACGTTAACTACTCCTCCTCCCCTCAGTAGTCCCCCTCCAGTCTTTAAGTTCCATAATTGCTGCAATGTCCCACCAAACTCACGAACCACACTTACAGTTAACTGATTTATTAGGGAAGTAACAGGGTACAACTTGGGATCAGGAACTGCTCAGGAGTAACAGGAACTGCTCAGGAGTAACAGGAACAACTCAGGATATAGTTCTCGATCAGGACACCTTCTCGCCCTCTGTCACCAGGCCCTGCTCGGGGCCTTCTCAGGCAAGTGTTACATCTCTTAGCTCCATGGGACCCACTACAGCCCTCTGGCACTAGTCTCCTGGTTCTTGCTGTCTCACGCCACTATTGCTTTTGCTACTGCTGTGCTGCCGTCTCTCTCTCGCTGTCTTCTATGTTACAGCTCCTCCTTCTCTCTGTGTGTGTCTCCTTTTAAGCCTAGCAGGTTGGCAAAACTGACCAATCCCCTCGTTAGGGTTCCATACACCTTATTTTCATTAGTGGGAAGTTGTCCAATCCCCTTGGTGGGCCACAAGCACCTTATTTGCATTATCCCACCCAATCATTGTGTCTGAGTCACAGACTATGGCTAGAAGGCCATATTAAGTAATTCACTGCACCGAAGCTGGAGAGGAAATGTTCCTTCCTGCTGCCTTCTCATCTCCTTTCAGTGAGGACGGAGAAATCACTAGGAGTTTGCAAGGGAATAGTGCCAAGGTCTCTTGTTCTCTTAAGGTTCTTAACTCAGGACCTCTGGGAAAGGTTTTGAGCTGGTACCTTTCACAGGAAGGCAGGAGGGATCTGGGAATACCAGAATTAGATGCCACAAGGTGTGCTGCCCTAGCCCTATCATGCCTGGCCAAATGCAGGGCTGCTCAGGAATATACCTGCCTAGCTTTGCTGTGGGGAGGAACAAGGGATGGCAGAGCCATCTGTCATACTCAGAATCATAAGAAAGAGTCCCTGCCCGGGAATGGCAGGCACACGGCTGGATGTGTCTCCCTGTTGCTGTCTCTCTGAGGGTCTCCTCTCCTTCTTCTTCTTCTTCTTCTTTTTTTTTTTTTCCCTTTGCTCTCTTCATTGGAACTTGGCCGGGCCATGTGCAAATCCCAACCATTCAACAGTGCTGGAGAGTAGATAGTATTTACCTCAATAATGGTAGTCTCTTTTCGATTCTTTCTAACCCTCAATTCAGATGATGGGTCTAAGCCGACGCCCACGATGGAAACTCAGCCGGTGTTCGATGGAGATGGTAAGCTCTTGTGTTACTCCTGACTCTTATTCTCCGACCCATGTTCAGATTTGGAAAAGGTCTTCCATTTGGATTTTTTTTAAGCTTTCTTATTTTTTTCTTTTTTAATTTCATTTTTTTCCCAGTTTAAGCTGGGTTATTTTAACCTTATTTTTTTTAATAAAAAACAAATCCTCCAAGGAACTGGTACACTCTCCACTTCTGGAAAGGTCTTCTGTTCTTCCCAGGCTTCCTGCCTGTCTCCTGACATCCAACAATAACATAGCCTGGACAGACCGTTTGAGTTGACAAGACCAAGGAATCATGGCTCAGAGAGGAAGTCAGGCCAGCAGTGTCCCTGCAGTCAATAAGCCAGCACTTATAAGTGTCTGCTCTGTGCTTAGGATTGTGCTGGGGGATGACAGAGAAATAGAAGAAATGTAAGCCTTTGCTCTCAAGACAGATGCAACTATTGGAGAGCTTTATGGGTTAAATTATGTGGTCTCAATTTTTAGCGTAATGGACATTTTTGGAAGAAAAATGTCAGGGTGGTCTGGGAGAAGATTGTGTGAAGAGATGGCACTGCCACTGGATCTTGAAAGTGCAGGGGAAGAATCAGGGTGTTCCAGGCAGAGGACCAGCACGACTGAAGGAAGGAAGGAGATGAGTACGCGGTACAGTTAGAAAAGTAGCAGGAAAGAGATTCGCTAGTGGGGCTGGTTTGGCTAGGTTATAGGGACCTGGAGAGTTGAGTCAAGACGTTTGGGAGAGGTGAAATTCCAGGTCAAGAGAAGTCAAGTGGTCTGGTGGCAAGATAGAGTCTGTATGTCCATGTCCGGGGAGGTATGGGGAGTAGACAGGAGGAGCATGGTGTGCGGAAGCTGGTCTCAATTCTGGGTTTGAGCTGCTCAGGCCCTACATTCCCCAGTGTACTTTGCTGAGTACTCCAGGCTCCTGTGAAGAGGAGAAGGAAGCTTAGACTAGCATAGTTTCTAGAAAGTCTGAGAATGAGATTTGGTTCTCAGTGCAATATGCAGGAAAAGTTCAGCAGCTGTCAGCTGAGTATATACAGGCCTAGCTCACGAGATGGACAGTGAGACAGAGGAATTAAAAGGGATCATGCCACTGGTTGGCACTGTGGCTAGGGATGTCCCTAGCCTGGGCTGAGCTCTGGGAAAAGGATTTAAATGTTGCTTGTTTGGTGGAATATGTGTGTGTTCATGCCTAGGAGTTCGGATGTTTCCATGATTCCCAAAGATCCTGGATTGTTGGCAAGTCTGGGGTCCTGGGACTCATGGGGGGAGTCAGGTGGGGACCTTCCCAGCACCCCTATCGAAGACCTTGTCACTCTACAGTGTGTTCAGGGTAATCCAGGATTCCCACACTACCTGTTCACTGGGTGACCCATGCCCTGGAGAGACCTGGAGGCTCCCTGGATAGAAGAATTCAGCCTTTGTTCGATAAGGAACCATTAGAAAGGGAATTGAACAACAGATTAGACCGATTACTTTCTTTCTGTTGTGGAGCACAGTCTCAGCAAGTTGAAATCTGCTGTGGCTCAGCCGTTTCCTTTAAAATGGTCACTGTGGTTTGTTTGGCGCTCGTTTGTTGATTTATCCCCTTTAAATCTTCTTCCAGGGAAGCAGCTGAGAGGGACTTGGCTTGGCCCATGTTCCTCACCTCCTGGGATAATATTTTTATTCCTGGATGGAGTGGCTCAGTGCCTCCGGACTCTGACCACTCGGTCTCCTGGCCTAGGAGGCCCAGGTTGGCGCCTATGAGCTGATGGGGAAAGGAGCTTCCTTTGTAAGGAAGGGAGAGGATATTGGGACAACGTGGGTGTGGAATGAGGGAGGAAGCCGAAACCTCAGGATTTAGATGCCCTAGGCTTTAAGAAAAGCTATTAAAAAAAAAAAACCTGGGGGTTATAATCCAAGTCACATCCTCTCTTTGCACAGACTTTTTTTTCTTTCTCTTTTTCTCTTCAGAAATCACAGCTCCAACTCTCTGGATTAAACACTTGGTAATCAAGGACTCCAAACTGAACAACACCAACGTAAGAAATTCAGGTAAATAATCTTCCTTGGATTATATACGTACCTGATCCATCCATGGCTGTTCTAAGGTTGCTCCAGGACTACCCGCTGTGTGGGCTTGGGCAAGTCACGTGACGTGTCTGGTTCTCAATTTCTACAGCTGCAAAAAGAAGAAGTAGTATAAGTTAATCCTTTCCAACTTTAATTTTCTTCGGTTGTTATCTCAGGGATCATATTTCATGAGTAGTTGATCCTTTTAGCTAACAAATATTTTTGACTGTATGTTTTAATATTTTAATTTACTTTCTATATGCCATGTAGAAGAATTTAAAAGAAGAATGAATGGCATAGAGAAATTAGACTTCAAACCTGAAGAGACTTTGTTCTATGTGCTTTAAAGGCTCTAAATAACTGCTTAGTCATGTTTTTTTCCTGCTCTAATTTTTTGGGGGACTGCTAACTGAAACGTTGGTGGTTCAACTCCTTCCAGAGGCACTTGGAAGAAAGGCCTGCCAATCTACTTTTGAAAAATCAACCACTGAAAACCCTATGGAGCACACACAGTTCTATTCGGACACTCAGCGGGTTGCCATGAGTCAGAATTGACTCAATGGCAACTGGTTTTGGTTGTGAGTAGTCAGGTTTTGGCACTGGCTGAATCCCTGATAGAAATGTGATCATTTTTGAAGGGTGATCAGATTTGTAGGATTTATTTGTAGGGTTCATTTATCATCAGTTAAGACCAAAGTTAATGTCCATCAACAGGAAAATGTATTAACGAACTCAATCTGTGTCTCTATCAGGAAGGATCATCCGTCTTTCAGCCCAAGACTTTATTGTGGGAAGTGTTACTCTGTATAATTTATGCCTTGTTGTTGAATTTAGCCATATCTTTCCCTTATAGGTAACAAGGGCTATAACAAAAGGTACATGGTCATTAATGAATGTGCTGTACTCAGTCCCCTTTACATTTACCTGTATGCTAACACTGTCCTAAAGGTGGCAGTATAGGGGCTAGAGTACACAGAGTGATTTAGACCAAGAGGTAACTCCATCTAGCATCTGCTGAGTTTCTCTGTGGCTTGGGCTGGTCAGTACCTCTCCATGTGTTTTGGTTCCCTGTTTGATAAAAGCTGGAGGTATGGCATGATGAGATGGGAAAAAGACCATATGAACTCCCTTGTGCTGGAGCCTTGATGGCACAGTGCAGTGATTAAAGCACAAACATCAGAATCAGAGAAATCTGGGTTCATATCCCGGCTCCCACACTTAGTAAGTGATCCTAATCAAGTTGAATAATCCCTCTGAGCTTCAGTTCTCATCTGTAAAATGGGATCATGAACTCTCCCTCAAAGGACTGTGATTTAAAGGTTACCTGCGTTAATGTCTGCATGGCATTTAATCGATGCCTGGCTAAGTGATAAGTAGTAAATGCATGATAAATTGTAAGTACATGGATTTATTATTGGTAGAAGCAATAGGAATATTAATTATACTGCCTATAGTGAGAATTCTACAATTAGGAAAGAATTTATGATTGTCACCATAAGCAAAAGCATCAATTGGGCAAATTTCCTCTTAGGACCTCTCCCACTCTCTCCTCACTGGTAGGCAAACATGCTAACTAGTTTTGGTACCTGTAACACTGGCACCGGAAGTGACATCTGGAGATGGTCTCCCCATTCCTTGAGTTCCTGGCAGGTCTGCAAGGCCCTAGTGAAAGGTGGCCAAGTAGTAGATGTGAGGGTAATCGTCCTCTGAAATTCTACAGTACCTTTTGCCTAAGTTGGCATTTAGCGTTTGCTTTCTTGAATTTCTTTTTCACCTACCAGTGCCTGATTTCTCCATCTAGATTATAAACTCTGTGAGAATGAGGGCTTTATTGCTAGCCTTTTATTGCAGGGACATTATAGCTCAATGTGGTTGAGTGCTTTGGGGAAGGATAGAGAAGTCATCATCATCATCATCATCATCATCATCATCATCATCATCATCAGAAGTAAAATAAGAATTATCACTGTCATAATAGCTAGTCTGTGTCAGGTCCTGTAGCACTTTACATATGTTATCTCATTTCAACTTTACTGGAACCCTATGAGATAGGTATTATTATTAGTGCCCCATCTTACAGATGAAGAAAGCAAGGCTTACAGAGAGGACATAACATGTCCTGGGTTGCACAGCTAGTAAGTGGTGGGGCTGGAAAAAACGAGTTATCCTTGACTGTAGAATGCCTGTTTTCTTGGGTTGTATTCTCTGAGTATAGTAGAGAGCTGATGTCAAGTCAGGTGATGATCTTTGCTTCCACTCTAGTGCTTCTGCTTTCCCTTCCCACTTTCCTTACATGGTTTCCAATAGGATGGGTGTACGGTCATGTTGAGAAATGGTTTCCAGCAGGTACAACCACCTTCCTTTAGTTGGAGTGACCCAGATACCTTTATTCTGCCATGGTTGGCCCCAGTAATGTCTGTAAAGTTAGTGTATAGGACAGGGTAGTTAGAGGAGAGCTAAAGGATCCCTTAGAGAAATTGAGACCAGGGATAATGGCCAGGAATTGGCAACTTCGGAATTTCCTAATGAACTAGGACTTTCTCTATCAGGATCTACCAATAATTCTGGCTGAGTGCCTGCTAATCTTCTTGGTGGTTATGTGTTGAGGACACAGTGCCACAAAAACGTATAACAGGGGTTGACAAATTATGACTTACCAGTCAAATCTGGCCAGCTACCTGCTTTTGTAAATAAAGCTTTATTGGAGCACAGCCATCCCATTCATTTACCTATGGATGCTTTCACACTACAGTAGTAGAGTTGAATAGTTATGACAGAGACCATCTAGCCTGCAAAGCCTAAAATATCTGACCAAGAAAAAACCTAGTCTATGAGAGGGTGAAAAAACCTGAGCAAGACATCCCCCGCCCTGCCCCACTACAATGGTGCCATCTGCAACTGATTGTGGGGATAGTACAGGACTGGACAGTGTTTCATTCCATTGTGCATGGGGTTGCCATGAGTTGGGGCCAACTCCATAGCAGCCAACAATAACAGCTCATAGTCTAAGCAGAAGCAGGGCCTGTGCCTGCTGAGATGTTTCCTGACGTGCCCAGGTAAGTCTGCATCAGTACAGGAACTCTTTAGGGAGCTCATGTAGCTCTTCATCATTTCACATGAACACAGTGCTTTGCCAGCCTTTAATGTGCTGTTCTAGTGCTTGCTTTATAAATGGGTTGCCAAGAAAGCGTCTTGAGGTTTGACTTTCATAGGCAGAAGGATAAAGAATCTTTTGGATACAGAAGAGATAAATCATGTAATAGCGAAAGCATGGGTTTTGGTATCAGACAAACCTATAGACCTAGCTTCCACTGTTAGCTTCCCACTGAGAGGCTGGGTGACCTTGAGAAAGTTATTTAGCTTCTCTTATTATTATTGGTGTCTTGCATGATTTTTGTGAGGATTTGACAATGTATATAAAATGTCAGGTGATAGTAGGTGCACCTTAAATGATTGAAAAACAATGGCTACTCTTGATGGACTATCTTTATGTATTGTCCTAGGCACTTATCACATGTCACCTCCTTTGCTTTAATGAGAAGTCAGATAGACTTTAATGATAACTGAGGTCTGTGCAGCTGGCTCTGGTATAGGCAGGCCCCTCTGTTTCAAGCACCTGGGATAATTTCCCATTAGAGTTTGACTAGAGATTCTGGGCTCAGGTGAGGTTCAGACCACATCTCTGGGAAGGTTGAAGTGGACTCTGAGAAGCCCTTCTGGGTGAGAGCTCTTCTTCTCAGCTGTCTCTGAAAGAGGCTAAAAGGCCATCCCAGTTTCTTTTACACCCCAAACATCCTTCTTTCACACTCAGACCCTGTGACGCCAGGTTTGTTTTCTGGCCTGGGGACTGTTGATGTTGGAAGAGTTCCACTGGGCAGCTGAAGTTTTGCAATAACATGACACATACGCCTGCAGACTTATCCTGTCTCCTTCTCTCCTCCTGGAGGGTCTGGTCCTTGTTTTTAAGGCTTTGTCATGCGTTCACCGTAGTCAGTGTTGCCTTTGAGTGCATGGCAGGTTTAGCATCGACAGGCTTGCTTGCTTGGTCTTCTTCTCTTTGATTCTGTCCTCCATCGCACCTGGTTAGATGGAGGGATTCTTTTTGCATTCTGGCAGATAGTGTACCTGGCTAGCTAACACCCTAGAGCTTGAGAGGAGACATCTTCTCATAGATGGGTGTTGGCCAGAGACTCTATCTGCTTTTATAAGGAAATAGGAACTCTTGCTGAGCATTTTGTATCAGGGACTACCAAGACATTTTTTCACATTCCTAGAGTTAAAAAATTTTTTTAATCATCTATGTTTTCTAGAAGAAGAAAGTAGAGGGTAAAGAGATTAAATAAAGACAAGAATTCGACTTCATCTAATTGGTCCTATTCCCTTAAAAACAAAAACAAAAAAACCAAACCTTTGCCATCGAGTCAATTCCAACTCATAGTGACCCTATAGGACAGAGTAGAACTGCTCCACAGGGTTTCCAAGGAGCAACTGGTGGATTTGAACTGCCGACCTTTAGGTTAGTAGCTGAGCTCTTAACCATTGTGCCACCAGGGCTCCCTATTCCCTTAGGACTTTCAAATTTACTATATATAGACTTTTTCTACACCTGTGATTTCTACAAGTCTTTTTTTTGTTTGTTTCCTGTATGACAACATTCTGTGTTTCTTTTGTGGGAAAACCCCATGTCTCAGGAAAGATGGTCTAGGGAGCCTAACTCTTTTCTAATACTCCCAAGGCCCAAAGCCCCGTTTCCCTCCGCCCCAGGGTGGCTGAGTTAACTCTTGTAGCCTTTCATGGAGTAGTTTGACTTCCCTTCCTTCTTTCCTTTATCTCCATCTTTCCTAGTTAACTTCTTTTGTGATCTGATCAGGGACTTCAAGAAGGCTCTAGAACCAGGCCCCATGGGTTCAATCTAGAAGGATCTTGCCTTTGCTCCTTTGCCTCTTTGACTGGCACCAATGAATGGAGGAATCCCTGAGTAA